CTCGGGCCTAAACACATATTTTTAGTCTCTTCAGTGAATCCATCCTTCTATGGAATGAAGCCCAAACTTATCAAGCTTTGGAAACCTTTTTCCAGATCTAAACTATTTTTTCCCAACAAACTCAGCAAATATATTTTGATTTTTATTATCAGTAATAAATTCATGCATCAGTTTTATTATCTTCCTACTTGAGGCTGTCAGTCTGGCAGGTTAACTTTTTCCTGGTCTTACTATATGATTGGGATTTATATCAGTTAGTCAGTCAGTTGATTTCATCACCAGTCTGAACATTCTTTTAATTGTAGATGGACACAATACCTTTATTTATTTATTTTTATGTGGTGCTGAGGATCGAACCCAGTGCCTCACATGTGCTAGGCAAGTGCTCTACCACTAAGCCACAACCCCAGCCCTCTGAACATTCTTTAAAATAATTTTTTAGTTGTAGATGGACACAATATTTGTTTGTTTGTTTGTTTTTATGTGGTGCTAGGGATCAAACCCAGTGCCTCATGCATGGTAGGCAAGCGCTCTACCACTAAGCCACAACCCCAGCCCCAATGATTTTTTTAAGACCCAGGTTTGGGTTTGTAGCTTAGGTTAGTCTCAAACTTTTAGGCTCAAGTAATCCTCCTGAGTTAGCCTCTCAAGTAGCTGGGCCTTACAGGCATATATCACCACACCCAGTTAAAACAGTTTTTAAAGTGGAAGTAATCTTTGAATTTCAAGTAGAAAAGTCTAGAGTTTAGGCTTAAAGTAAAGCTTTAAGAAGGGTGTACTCATGGCCTTGAGACCTTTTGTGGCACCACACATAAGGCTCTGAGTTTAATCCCCAGTATCATAAAAAAAGAAAAGGAAAAAAAACTATTTGACAGTTTGTAATCTCATGGTCCAGTCTCATCTCCAAAGTTTATTTTGGCCCATGCTGAGGACAGTGACCTTCTTCCTCAGCTTGCCAAGGCCCAATATTAGTTTTGACAGTGAAGATGCCTCTTACATTTAAAGACCAAGAAAATTCTGGCTTAGGGTTCTCTGGTGTACCAATCCAATTGCAGAAACACAGATTTCAATTCCAACTATGAAATATGTATGTCATGTTCACTGTGTAGGTTTACAGTACAAAACATTGCCTAATCGTTTTTTCTTTTGATGGATATAATGGTGAGACTCCTGACAGTATCAACAGTGGCATGGTTAAGATCTCAAAAGCCACATACTGTCAGAGTGAAAAACATAGATGTGTTCAGCTCAGTGGCCTGAGCTCTCCATACAGCTTGCATCATGCAGTTCAGAATCTAGAAAAAGCCTATCAAGAAATTTATCATTCTGAAATATTTGTATAAGGGAAGGGTTTACTCTGGGAGATAGACAAAGTTTTCTGAAAGGTAATTGTATGAAAGAAAGAAAATAGGATTGAAGTTCCTTTATTCTCCACAGGAGCAAACCTTCCTTCTATTATGTTTCAAAGGCAAAAAAAAAAAAAAGAGAGAGAGAGAATTTCCAGCAGAGATTCATTAACCACAAAAGTCTTTAACATATGAAGGCCCACTTGCAGATACTGATTGTTTTTCTTTTACTCTTTTTTAACCTCAATTTTGGACTTTGTTCATCATACATTTTCTTCTCTTCCTGACTTCCCATCTTCCTCAGGTCATTTCATATAGATATGTGTAGACCATCTGTCCTTCCAAAAGGCTGTCCCTTCTCTCAACAAGGGGCAGGGATGGGAATGGAGAGGCATAGTGTGGATAGAACGCCAGGAAAAATCTTGCAGACAGTTTTTTGGCTCCTCTTTTCTGGCCCTTCTTTGCCTGCCCTGTAGCCCCCTGGGGACCAACAGGGAGACAACAGCTTGTATCCATTTGAGAAAGTGGCAGTGGCACAAAAGGAAAGTGCTAGGTTGTTCAGCTTTCCTTTTAAACACAGAAAAGGGATACAGATGGTGGGTGGTGTGCTGGAACGCACATGTTCTGTGCCATAGGATCAAATAGAATGGAAATTCTTAATTGTCATTGAAGTGGAACATAGGAGGTTCCAACATAAGTGGAACATATGTTTGGCTAAGGAAAATGCAAGCCAATGATTCAGATTGCTTCCAAATATACAAGTAGAAGTTTTCTACATTGTGATAATTTTGTCCTAACCTATGTCTTTCTCCAAAGGCTCTCCCTTACCTTGGAGATTGATTGCATGTGAGTACACCCACAAGATTGTCAAAGCTTTCGATACTTGACCCACAGAGCCTTATATCTAGCTACTATCCTTGAAAATTTAACCCCAGTGAAGGTCCTTGAGATACCACCCTCAAAAATCTTGGTAGGTCTTCAGTTAAAAAGTGTTAAATTAATAGGATATTAGTTCATGTCTGTTCCCATGAACAATTTTGTGGAAAGAAAAAATTCCCCATGGCTCATTCCAACCATGTTGAAGAGCTCAGAAATAGGTTTGACTGTAGCTCAGTGGTAAGAGTACTTGCCTAGCATGCACAAGACCCTAAGTTCAACCCACACCACTAGAAAGAAAAAGAGAAAAACCAACTCAGAAATGAGGCAGCCATGCCTCAAAGGACCCTGCAAGTATAAACAGAGGTGCTGCCCAAAATCAAATTATAGAGCTAAAGTAGTAACTTTCAAAATGAGCCGTAATACATGGATAAACTGAATTTTATAGTTTTTAAGCCTTTTAGTTCCAACTTAATAATAATAGAACCCATTATCAGAAGCCAGTTCAAATTTTCAAAAGAATAGTGGTAAAAATGCTAATTTAAACATCAGAATTGCTACTTGGGAATCTGCTGGAAATTTTCTTTTTGCCTTTGAAACATTACGTAGGGAAGCTTTGCCCCTGAGGAGAATAAAGGCCTTTCTGTAAGCCTTGAGCAGGCCGAAGCTGCTGCCAGTGTTATGGACAAGAAACATTTCAGTGTTAAATCTGTCTTGTGGCATGAAGCTGAAAACTCATCTAGTGCAAATATAGGGGACTGTCCCACAGCTGTGAAACCCTCCAGACAAGGGGAGAGTAAAGGCTCTAAATTGTTAAAGCCTGGCTCCAAGAGCAGGGGCCTCTGCTTTGTTTCAGAAGAAGTCCAAAGATGAACTATGCAACCCCAGCTTTTACCCAGGTATCAGATTTCCCTGAAAATCTGATCTCAACGTTGCAGAAACTGTGTCCATTTACAAAATTTCGCCAGCCATCCATTTTGTTTCAGGATGCTAAATTGAACCATAAATCAAACTTAAATTGAATCCTGAAAACTTTTGGTATTGTCAGAAATTAATCAGCTCTATAGAAGTGATGGTGTGACAAACATGATATATTGAGTGGTTGAGTTGAAAGGGAGGCTTTCACTTAATATTGATGATGTTGATTTCTTTGCAAATAGTTTTGCTTCTTACTTAACTATGACTTATAAGCCCCATGGCTGTCTTAGTTTATCTAAAACAGCATAGTACTGTCCTACAAGTTGCATAGGTACCACTGCTTCCAAGCAGGAAGCAGTGTGGCATTCAGATAGTCTTTGGACCTAGCAGGGCTGGGTTTGAATCCCAGCTCTGTTACATGTAGCTGCACATTGCCTCAGTTTTCTCATTTGCAATGTGAAACTAATAATAGCTGTTTCATAGAACTATTAGTGATTAAATGAAAGAAGTATAGATGGATTACCTGGCACATAGTACATGCTCAGTAAATGGTGATATTATTAAGGTAAATGGTGATATTATTAAGGTTTTGTGCCTTCCTCATTGCTATAGTCTCATCAGTGACTCAACTTACCAAGCCAGTTAAGAAAATGAGAATTGAAAGAGAATTCACTTTTGACTGTTCTTTATTTCATGTCTCGTGTGAATCTCATCTCCCTCCTAGATTCAGGTGAGGTCCCTGAGAATAGAAACATAATTTTTTCCTTCTTTCCTCTACCCCACAATGATAAATACAAGTGTTAATCAACTAGAAGACATTCAGGAAACACTTGTTGATGTGAACTTACTTAGTACCATCTTAGGTCTATGTATGCCCCATCATAAGAACAGATTTGGCTCTGCTGTCTAGAAATCCAAAAATCTCCCTGTGTTTTCTATTTTCCAGTAAAACCATGGAGAAATTTTGCCATCTTCAAATCATTTCTATTTGATTATTGGGCCATAGCTAGCCATTTTATTATTTGTTTATAAGTATCATTAACATTGCAGCTGCAACTGAGATAGCTTTCTTGTCTCCACTTAAATGAAAATTTTATTTTCTGATTATCATTTAGATTAAGAAGTCCTTTATACTTAACATTTCATCTTCATATTTAAATATATTTAAGAACTGGGGATGTAGCTCGATAGTAAAGTGGTTGCCTACCAATAAATAAATACTATTTATTTATTTTTTTCAGCAGTTTTTGTAGCAAACAAGTCTAATGTAGGCATCCTACATTTTATGTATTTTTTTTTTCCCTGAGCTCTGTTGATGTCCTAACATGCAGTTAAGCATTTTAGGGAAAACTTGAAAATACATTACTTTTATCTGAAATCCTCAAAGATCTGAGTGTATAACAATATAGAATATACATTGAGAAATTGACTTGACTTTACATATATGTAACTGATCAGATATATAATAATTAGCTTTTAAATTCTCTCTGAGAAGCAAGGACACAGATGACCTTAATTATTACTAATTATTACTTATTACTAAAAATAACGTGGATTTATATGGAGCTTTAAAATCATGATTATCCTCACAAGGATGTTCCTGACCTATGGAGAAGTATTAGAGGCTATTGAGTTCTTTTTTATCTTTGAGAAAATTGAGGGCCAGGGTAGTTGGGCAACTTCTCCTAAGTCATAGTTAATGACAGATCTGATCTTAAAAGTTGGCTCTTCTGTTTCTTGGTAGTTTTTTCAGTTCTTGCAAGCTTTATGCAACTATGTTGATCAATTGATCATTCTATATTCCACATCAAAATACTTACCATTTGACTCCAAGAACACTCTTTTTTCTCTCTCTCTCAGTTTGAACGCCATGATCCTGTAGATGGGAGGATTACTGAGAGGCAATTTGGTGGCATGCTGCTGGCCTACAGTGGGGTACAGTCCAAAAAGCTGACTGCTATGCAGAAGCAGCTCAAGAAGCACTTCAAAGAAGGAAAGGTAGGTCACTTTGGATGGAGAAAGAAAAGAAGCCATGGGAACTTCTGGTTATTGCAAAGGTAACAACATAATAGTGAGAAGAAGTTATGAACTAATTCATCTTTAATACTGAAGATGCAAAGGGAGGAAAAAAAATAAGCAATGGAGGTAAAGAAGAGAAGAGAGTCCAGAATAACCCTAAGTTTCTTGTTCAGGCAAAAGTTGGTACTGTGTACCGAGATGGAGAATTTCAGCAGGAGGCTAGCTTGAATTGAAAGAAGAAGTTCAGTTGTGGATGTCTTGAGTTTAAGATATTGTTAACTCTCCAAATAGAGATAATCATCAGACAACTAGATATTCTGTCTGTCTGCAGTTGATTTAGGAATCATCAGTACACTGTTAGAGTTAAAATCATGAGAACAGAAAGATTTCCAAGGAAGGCATTACACAGAAAAGAGCTGTGGACCAAGAATCCAGTGGAACACTAACATTTAAGCATCTCAGGAAGGAAATCTAGAAGAAATGATTATAGAAATACCTAGAGAGAATAGTGAAATCAAAGTGAAGGAAAGAAAGAAGGTTCAGGAACTGAGGTTCTGCATTGTCCTGTGCAACAGAGAGGCACTAGTAAGATAATGATGAACCTATCTGTTGGTTTTGGTGAAATGGTAGTAACTGATGACCTTTGGGAGAGCTGTTCTGTTAGAGTAATACAGTTGGAAGGCAAATTAGATGAGAAGTAAGGAAGAAAAGAAAGAGAAAAAAGAAGAGAAGGTTTAGACAGAGGGAAGTTACATATGCAAAATTTTGAGTATTACCCTATTATGGCTACTATACCAAAATACAACAGACTGAGTGGTTTTAACAACAGAAGTTTACTTTCTCATAGTTGGAGAATGTGTCGTCAGATAAGCTTTCCTCAGTACACATGGATAGACAGCAGCTCTTCGGTGGTATTTCTCCTTATAAAGATACTAATCCTATCAGATTAGGGCCCACTTTATGACTTCATTTTCCATTCTTATTTCCTTTGAGGCCCCCATTTTAGCTATACTAAGAGGACAATGGTTTCAGCACATGGATTTGGGGAGGGAAGTGGGGACACAAACAGTCCATAATCAGCAGGAAAAACAAACATGGCACATTGAGGAACTGAAAAGAGATAGTGTGGTTTAATCATACTGAATAAGAAGAAAGACCTGAGAGGAGGTCAGAGAGGGAGATGAGGGCCAGGAAATATGTGCGTTAGGATTAGAAGGCACCAAATTTATTCACAGTGCAGTGAGATGCTACTAAAGACACTACTGAAATGACATGGTTGTATATATGTTTGGAGAGAGTCCCAGAAAGGAGTTTGGAAAGAAATGAGCTTAAAAGCAAATAGTTTGATAATAAGATTATTAGAGAGTTTAGGAATGGTTACACATGCCTGTAATCCCAGCTACTCATGAGGCTAAGGCAAGAGGATCTCAAGTTCAAGGCTAGACTCAGCAATTTAGCAAGGCCCTGTCTCAAAAATAAAACAATAAAAAGGGCTGGGATGAGGCTCAGTAGTAGAGCATCCCTAGTGTTGAAAAAAAACGAGAGAGAATTTAGGAAGAGATGATCTAGAGTTTTTAACAGCTCTGAGATTTAAGACCAGGGATTCATTCTAACTCTACTCAACACCGCTCTCTGATACCTTTTACCACTAGCTATACCTAGTGCAAAAAGGAAAAAAAGAAAAGGGTAAATGTTGGAACCCACTCAGCACTGGGAGTTTTGCCAGCTGGTGGGATGAACAAACGGGCACATACCAGCTAAGAAGTCGGGTCTCTAAAAGACCACACCTGCGCATGTACACACTCACACAAACACATACAAAGGAGAACCCAAATCTTTTTCCCAAATCCCATGATTTCCTGCTGGATAATGATCACCATCTGGCCATGACCAGACAACTGACCTGGCAGTAAAAATGTTCCATGAGAGATTACCAAGGTAATGTGATATGATGGACATGAAACTTCTTGTCACTTTAACGATTCAATAATAAGCCAGGCTTGGTGTTCACACCTGTAATCCCAGCAGCTCCGGAGGCTGAGGCAGGAGGATCGCCAGTTCAAAGCCAGCCCAGCAAAAGCAACATGCTAACAACTCATTGAGACTCTATCTCTAAATAAAATACAAAAGAAAATAGGTCTGTGGATGTAGCTCAGTGGTTGAGTGCCGCTGAGTTCAATCCCCAGTAACCTGCCCCAACCTACACACACACAAAAAAAAGATTCAGTAATAAGGGCTTGAGGTGTGGCTTGTGGTAGAGTGCTTGCCTTGCATGCACAAGGTTGAGTTTAATCCCCAGCACCACTAAAAAAAAAAAAAAAAAGCTAAATATTCATTTATTGAACATAAGAATACTATAGCTAGTGCTTATCCCAGTTTCCTTAGTCTTTTTGACTTTGTATAAAAAATCTTGAATGAATAGCATTGTCTCAAGTTGGTGAAAAGCACTTCTCAAGCAGACTTTTTCCTTCTTGTCTTGGATGTTGAAAAGCTAAAAGGACCCCTAAACCAGGCTGTGGGCTGCAACTGAGGACAGGTCAGGCCCTCTGAACTCAGTGCAGCCTGTTGCCACAGCAGGTATTCTTTTAGCTCTGGGTAAACTGATCATTAATGAAAAGTGAGAGAGTAAAGTATTTCTCTCCCAGAGAGTTCTTCTACACAACCTAATACTTGGCTTATGTCTATAGGAGATAATTTTATTTCAGAAAATTGGTTACAAGTGTTCAGGTGGATTTTGTAGGCCCTTGCCGAAAGCATAGTATTTTTTTAAGTATTTATTTTTTAGTTGTAGTTGAACACAATATCTTTATTTTACTTATTTATTTTTATATGATGTTAAGGATTGAGCCCAGGGCCTCACCTGTGCTAGGCAAGTGCTCTACCGCTGAGTCACAACTCCAGCCCAAAAGCATAGTATTTGCATTAGGAAACATTCTCTTTTTATTAACCAGACTTATTTTAAAGGTTTGTCCACACATTGATTTGATCTTTATTATCTAATAAAATATGATAGACTAATTCATATTTTATTATGAACTTAAATTTTAAAAAGCAATAAATTAGGTGTTGGAGATATCCTTGAAGAAATAGGGTGCTTTAAGCTTTGGCAGGAGTTAATTTAGGACCTGAAGACCTTGGAAAGGAGCTCTGAAATGGAAGGGCATATTTTGTCAAATGATGAAAATCTGAAGTGCTAAATTACTTCTGGCCAGAATTTCTAGACTGCTTTAGAAAGGAGATGAAGATTGATTGTCCTCTTGTGTTGATTAGTTTGTGAACATAGCAATTAACTACAATGAAAGTTAATGAAGGGCCTTTGCTCCTAAGGTTACCAGTCTCTAGGACCATGACTCATTAAAGGGAAATCAACATCAGTTTTCTAATTGCTTCTTTTATTCCATTTGGATTTGTTAACATGAAAATAAAAGTTTTCATTTACCTCATATTAATCAGTTTCTGTATGGGATTCTATGTTAAGATATCAAATCAGACTGAAAAAGATTGAATTTTCTAATGGTGGTATTCAGTAAACATTTGCATGTAACCTTATGATCATGCAGTGCTTCACAACCATTTCTCTGTTTTTCTGGGGACTGAACCCAAAGGCACTTTACTAATGAGCTACATCCCCAGCCCTTTTTATTTTTTATTTTGACACAGGGTCTCACTAACTTGTTGAGGCTATCCTTGAACTTGCAATCTTCCTGCCTCAGCCTCCTGAGTCTCTGGGATATCCATCTGCCCTGTTAGATATGATTGTGCCTTTGAGAATACAGAGGCAGAGAAAGAGAAATTAATAACCCATCCAGAGTCTAGACTGAAATACAAGGCTTCCTAATCCAGATCTTATCTTTTTCCTAGCAAAGTGCTATTTGTCCTAACCATATTCCTCCTCTAATGCAGTACTTCTCAACAATAGGATCACTTGGGGGCTTTTTTAAGAAATGCGGTTGTCAGGACCTTCTTCAAACCTATTAAGCCAAAATCTCAGTGGGTAGTTCCAGGCATCTGTTCCTTAAAGGCTCCCCTGGTTTCACTTCTCTCAACCTTTCTCCTCTTTTCTAACTCTCAAGGTCCTGCTCATACAAAGAAAAGAGTCTTCAGAGTTTAATAGAGTAAATTTATTACCACTAGTTTTGTAGTGATAAGCATGCTGACTTACTAAGGACTTCTACCTCCTACCTACCTAGTACTTTATGTGCATATTTTCTCTCCATTTATCATAACAATCCTGCTTGATAAATGAATCCTCGTTTTTCAGATGGTTCTCAACCTTATTTGCCAGAGATCACACACTATCTTGATAGATGTGCAAAATACAAAACCAAGGACTATCTTTAATAATTCATAATCTTCTTACTAATGACCCTATTTGTTGCCACTTTTTATTCTCTGTGGTTTGAATAAACACAAGGTTTGGGGGAAATAAGAAACCAGTGTCAGCAGGCTCCTCAGGGAGATAGTTAGAAAGGAAAGTTATGGGAGCAGATGTTGAAGGACCTTAAATCCTAGGCTAAGAAGTTTGAGAGTTTATCCAGCTACAGTGGGAAATCACTGAGGTTTTTTAGAAGATGAAGATATTAAGAAAGTGGTGTTTCAGAAAGATTAGATACTTATAGAATATAAGAAACAGAAATGGTATAATTTCCCCTGCTGCAAGGCCACAATTGAAGAGGAGTCTGGGGTTTACAGTAGGGATGCTTTAGGAAGCAGGAGATTGAACAAAGGGGAGATGAGGAGATTGGTGGAGGTATGTTATATAAGGAAGAAGGAAGGAGACTATTTTATCTTTTCAGTGGGCCATAAAGGAAACTCGGGCAATTGCACTGACTCCTAGTAGATGGGTTTGCTATGACTGATTTTAAAAAACAGAGCCAGAGAATCATCTATTACAGTGTGTCGTCCACGACCTGTCAGCACTGGATAGATATCTAGCTTTACAGCTGACTCCACATGAAGCCTAATTTTCCTTCCCCCTTTTCTCATCTATTCCAACTGCATTTTATTTTTTAAAACAACTTTATTGAGGTACAATTTATATACCATAGAAGTCATCTATTTTAAGTGTACAGTTCAATGATTCTTAGTAAATTCAGAGTGATGCAGTCATCACTGCCATCCCATTTCAGAACATTTCCAGAACATTTCTACTCCAGAAAGATCCCTCACACTAATTTTCAGTCAGTTTCAACCTCGGCAGGTTTGCCTGTTCTGGACATTTTATATAAATGAAGCCATAATAATGTAGTCTTTTTCTGTCTGGCTTCTTTTACTTAGCATAATGTTTTTAAGGTTTATCTATGTTGATGTTTGTACTAATAGTTTATCTTTTTATTGCTGAGTAGTAAATATAGATATATTATGCTTAGATATACTACATTTTGTTTATCCATTTACCAGCTGATAAACAATTGAATTGTTTCCATTAACAACTTTTATGAATAATGCTGTCATGAAAATTTACATATAAATCTTTATATCAACCTTTGTTTTTATTTCTCTTGAGAAGATTCCTAGGAGTGAAGTAGCTGGATCATATGATATATTTATGTTTACCTTTTTTTTTCTTTTTTAGTTGTAGATGGACACAATACCTTTATTTTATTTATTTATTTATTTTTATGCAGTGCAGAAGGATCAAACCCAGTGCCTTACACATGCTAGGTGAGCGCTCTACCACTGAGCCACCACCCCAGCCCTATTTATGTTAAGCTGCCAAACTATTTTCCAAAATGGTTGTATCATTTTATGTTTCCACATGAATGTATAAGAATTCCAGTTTCTCCACATCCTCAACAACACTTTGTTATTGTCTATTTTTTATTACCGTCATTCTAATAAATGTAGTAGTATATCATTGTGGTTTTCATTTGCATTTTCCCAATGACTGATGATGAAAATCATTTCATGTACTTAGCCATTCATCTATCTTATTTGGTAAAATGTCTTTTCAAACCTTTTTTTTTTTTTTTTTTTTTTTTTGCCATGCTGAGGATGGAACTTGGGCCTTACACATGCTAGGCCAGTGCTCTACCACTGAGCCACACCCCTATCCCCAAATCATCTTTTAAATCAAGTTACTGGTCTTCTCATTTAATTGTAAGAGTTCTTTATGTAATTCTGGGTACAAGTCATTTGTCAAACAAGTGATTTTCAAATATTTTCTCCCAGTCTGTGATTTGTCTATTTTCCCAGTATTTTGAAGCACAAATTTTAAAAATTTTGATGAAGTCTAATTTATCAATTTTTTTCTTCCATGGATTGTACTGTAGGTGTGTTATGTAACAGTTCTTGGTTTCTTCAAAATCATGAAGATTTTTTCCTGTTCTAAAATTTTGTCAATTGCTTTTAGTTTTGAAAGAGACAGTTCATTTAACTTCCTAACGTTAAGTTCATTTTTACACAACTTAGTGTCTCTACTGTCTACAAATTACTATTAATCTCATCTTTTTAAATCACCTAGAGCCCAATCTCATCTAAGTCCATCTTTCTAAAGGCAACTATTTTTGAATAGTTGGTCACAGGAGAAGACAAGTTCTTCATTTCTTATGTCCCCACCTCCCCTTTTTCAAGTGAAACCTTCTGTTGCCAAACCTAAGGGGAGGATATTTCCTTTTGACTACTACGTCTGCAGTTGACATCACTTGCCAGCAAATTATACATAAGCTATAGCCTTCCAGTCTGAATAGCTCAACATGAAGCAAGCATGTCTTTCAATATTCTTTTTTTATTATTATTTTTTTAATGTGCTAAGGATTGAACCCAATGCCTCACATTTGCCAGACAAGTGCTCTACCACTGAGCCACAACCCTAGTCCCCTTTCAAATTTCATTTTAACATCCACAAAGCTCGTGTCATAGTCTTACTCTAGTTTTTTTTCTAATAGCCCTCTGGATTTTTACTAAAATAGGTACCAAGAAATAATAATTTTGTGACTGGCGTCATCTTTTCTTTAAAGCAGCCTATCTATCTAAATTATAAGTTCCATAAAATCAAGGCCCATGTCCAGTACAATTTTATTTCTCTCACTGTTCTTGGCATAGTGCTGAGTGGTTAGTAAATGCTCAATAAATATTTTTTATTATATATATATATATATATACATATATATATATAAAATAAAGGCCAAGTGTCATATATTTAGATTTAATAGTGACATAATGTGATTTGTATCCCACTGTTTTTCTAAGTCATCAAATGATAGCCACTCAATTCATATTTTTCTTTCTGATCTCAAATAATTCTCAGCATAAGTAGACTAGTCTAGGACTATAGTATTTAATGTTTTGCAAAAAAAATAGCTAGCAAGCATTAGAGGTGAGAAATATTTCCTCTACAGTGTCCTTTCTGTTTTAGGGATTTTTTGCGGAGACAGGAGGTATTGGGAATTGAACCTAGAGGTTCTTAACCACTGAATCACATCCCCAGCCCTTTTTATTTTTGTTTTGAGACAGGATGTTGCTTAGTTGCTTAGGGCCTCACTAAATTACTAAAGCTGGCCTCAAACTTGTGATCCTCCTACCTCAACCTCCTGGGTTTCTGGGATTACAGGCATACCTGAGCATACCTGGTAAGTTATTGTTTAATGGGTAAGGACTTCCCATTTGGAAAGGTGAACAAAATTCTGGAGATGGATGGTGGTGATGACTGCCCAATAGCATGAATATACTTAATGCCACTGAATTGTACACTTAAAATTGTTTAAGTGGTAACTTTTGCTTATATTAACACATACACAAGACATGTTAAACCTTTACTTATTAAAGTATGGATTTATGTAGGGAATAAGACAGAGGACTGATTTATTGAAAGGATTTTTGAAGATAAAAGGCTAACATAAAATCCCTAAAACAAGGTGCTGGGGTTGTAGTGCTGTAGCATGTGTGAGCACTTGCCTAGCATGTGTGAGACCCTGGGTTCAATCCCCAACACCACATAAAAATAAATAAACAAAAGTATTATGTTCATCTACAACTAAAATTATTTTTTAAAAAAAACTCCCTAAAAGAGGCTCGGTGGCACACTCCTGTCATCCTAGGGACTCTGGAGGTTGAGGCAGGAGTATCACAAGTTCAAGGCCAGCCTCAACAATTTAGCAAGGCCCTAAGCAACTAAATGAGAACCTGTCTGTCTCAAAATAAAAAAATATGAAGAGCCCTAGCTCTGGGCCTCCATGTCACAGTCAAGAAATTGACCTCAAAGTATAAAATATGGGCCTTGCAGTTCACTGCCAAAAATCATGGAATTTGGTACATAGTAGATACTCCATAAATGTTTGAATGAAAGCTTGAATACAGATGCACTGTTGCCAGAATGCATACTATATAATTTCATTCATAAAGTTAAAAAGCAGATAAAATTAAACTATTTCTGCTTAAGGATGCATAAATAAGTAACAATGTTACTTAGGGGGGAAAAAGGCAAGGAAATGAATCTCCTAAAAGTAATAATAATTACTGGGGGTACAGGTAGGGGTAGAAATTATGACTGGGAAGGGACATTTTGTGGGGAAAGAAAGAGGCTTCCAAAATATTGACAATGATTGTCTCTTCCTTGACATGAATGGAGAGTCTTTGGGTGTTCATTTTAGAACAGTTTGTTAAGTTGTAAATTTGTATTTTATGCACCTTTCCATATGGCCTTCATATTCTATAATATTTGTAAATTCTCTGATTCTCAGGAGGAAAAACTTATAAAAGCTCCTGTGACATAATTATAGTAACCGTATTTTAGCTCTCTAATAAAATGAAAGATACAATCAGCCTAGTTTGGAGAGTATCAGAAAAAAACTGTGGATTGTCTTATTAAGGTTACCTCCTTATTGAGTTCCTGATGTGGTTTCCTGGCCTCAATGGTTTAGGAAATGGAAATCCAAAGAGAAGCAGCACTAAGTAGAAGCTAGTCAACATCTGCAATCCATTAAAGACCTGAGGCTTCATTAAAAATGTCTATAGCATTCCCCAGTGTTTCCATTTCTTAGAAACTGTTTTCATTTCCATCAGAGCTTGTTATGTGAGAAGTGAGGAAAAGGCGAATGGCACACCTCTTCCTCCCTGTAAAGGAACTCTCAGTAGCCCCTATTTTATAGAACTACTTTCACTTGAGCCATCATAGAATGGAAAATTAAGGAGTTGGGGATGTAGCTCTGTGGCAGAGCACTGGCCTAGCATGTGTGAGGCCCTGATTTTAATCTCCAGCACTACACAGAAAAAAAGAAAGTAGAGTTAAGATGTACAAACACTGAACAGCTTTTGAAAAGGATGATTTCATTAGTAGTTTCTAAATTGAAATAATGAACAGCTTCCCTATTGCTTGGGTTTTGCTAAATACTGAAATTCATTCCCTATACATTGCTAACTTTGGTGGTTCTTTAATTAGCTTAAGCTTCAGAAAGCTTAGTTGGCCTGTGCAACTATTCAACTGAAAGTCCTGGCTCTGATATAACTTCTTAAGATGTATAACAGATCAAGTGGCTACAGCCCACTTAGGAAGTGTCATAATAGATAGTGTGACTAATGGGAAAGCATAGTTAGAACTATTTTTAATGAAAGATATCCAGCCATCACTACAAGCAGCTTTATGTCATGTTCTACACATGAAGGAGAAGCAATTAGCCAATTTGCTTTTCTCAGGGTAAGATTCTAGAATTTTGTTTCCCTATTATGTACAAATTTGACATTCCTTGACTAATAATTTATTCAGTCTCTGATCTAGACATGAGCACAGATTTCTGCCTTAAAGCCATGAGTAGCTGCCTAGCTTTCTGCACTGTGTGCTGCTTTTTACTTCAGGTCCTGCCTTACCTTGCTGTCTCTCTTTTTAGGGTCTGACGTTTCAAGAGGTGGAGAACTTCTTTACTTTCCTAAAGAATATTAATGATGTGGACACTGCATTGAGCTTTTACCATATGGCTGGAGCATCTCTTGATAAAGGTAATTAAACCCCAAAGTTTTCTCTTGAAAGTATAAATATTGAATCTGCAATCTATTAGGTGACTGCCCTTCCTTAACAGTAAAATGCCAGATTTTCTTAATATTATCTTTTATTCATTTTGTTTTTGTCGGCACTATGTGAGCCTTGCATTTCACCTTGAGATGCCAAGCTCAGCAAGTGTATTTCTTTTTTTTTTTTTAATTTTAATATTTTTTTTTCTTAGTTCTCGGTGGACACAACATCTTTGTTAGTATGTGGTGCTGAGGATCAAACCCGGGCCGCACGCACGCCAGGCGAGCGCGCTACCACTTGGGCCACATCCCTAGCCCCAGCAAGTGTATTTCAATATGTGAAATGCTGTAGTCAGGGCAGATGCCCATTTTTAAATGATTAGCCTTGAAAACAGTCATTTAAGCAGAAGCACAATGCATGAAACTGCAGGACTTCTTTCATCTGAGCCAGAGTTATAGCATACATAATGAAAAGCTGAAGTCATTCTGCAATTCAATTTTTGTCTTTGATGAGAAGGAGTGATAGGTTTATTTCTTATATTAAAGATTCTAAAAATAAAATCATGACTCAAAATAGAACCCCCTGTTGGCTTATTTCATATAGGTTCAGTTACAATTTATATAGGCAGTATGAAAAAGTAGAGGGATCAAAAGCACAATTTTTCATTTTACATTTTATTGTGAAATTTTTCAGACTTTCAGAGCAGTCAAAATAATTATTTAAAGAATATCCATGGGGCCAGGTGCAGTGGCACATGCCTGTAATCTCAGTGGCTTGGGAAGCTGAGACAGGAGGATCATGAGTTCAAAGCCAGCCTCAGCAAGACGAGGTGCTTAGTAACTCAGTGAGACTCTGTCTCTAAATAAAATACAAATGTGGCTCAGTGGTTGAGTGCCCCTGAGTTCAACCCCTGGTACCAAAAAAAAAAAAAAAAAAAAAAAAAAAGAATATCCATCTATCCAGCTCAATTAACTTACTGTATTGGCTTGATCATATATCTATGCATAGCTTTATCCCTCTAACTATTCATCAGTCTCTTATTTTTTGGTACAAAGTTGCAGATGTAAGAATGCTTCACTTCCATTAATGCTGGTTCAATGCTTGTTAAAGTTACTTCTTCCCCCCTCAAGGTCAGCTTCTGTCCCCACTTATCAAAAGGCAACCTTTATTCTGATTAATAAACCAAAGATTAATATTACTTATTCTAGAACTTCATACAATTTCTCTCAACATAATGTTTTTAAAATTCATATATGTCATTGTACATGTCAGTAGTTAAATTCTTTTTTATGAGGAGTAGGAATCTATTGTATAAATAGCCCAAAGTTCATCTTTTTTCTATCTCTGGACACTTTGGCTTTTCCCAGTTTTTTACTATATTCATTATCTAAAGTTGCTTTGAACATTCTTGCACAAGTTTTTTGTGAATATTTTTTTTCATTTGTCTTGGGCAAACATCTGCCTATAAGTGGAATTGCTGAGTCCTAGGGCAGGTAACTATTTATTCTGTATAAAAAGAAAATGTGGCTTTCTAGTTTTACCTTCACCATTTATTGAAAAGGTGCTCCATTGGTTTTCTTTGACACATTAGTGTTTCACGGCTCTCTATTCTCCAACATTTATCCATGTATCTCTCTGAATGCCCACATTCACTTGATTACTGTAACTTTCTAGAAAATGTTTAGGTGTCAGCTCTTGTAAATACTCTGAGCCTAGTTCTTCCTTTTCAAGATTGCTGTGGATATTCTAGGGTTCCTTGTATTACCATATAAATTTTAAAATCAGCTGGTCACTTTCTATGATATGAAAACTTTTTTATCATCACTGGCTCTTGTATTTTCTCAAATTTTTTATGTATATTGAAATGATTATAGACTTTTCTCTTTTATTCTCTTAGTATGGTAGGTAACATTATTTATCTCTCAAAGCCCTGAAATAAATCTAACTTTTCTAGAAGCTTTTACAGATACTACATTGATTTGCTAACATTTCGTTAAATATCGAGGGATGTTGGTCTGTAATTTTCTTTTTTTGTGATGTCTTTTCAGATTTTATATCATAATATACTGACCTCATAAAATGATTTAGGAACTTTTTCTCCTCTGGTTTCAGAAAGGGCTTAGGTAAGGTCTGGGGTGGTAGCTCAATGATAGTGCACTTATCTAGCATGTACAGAGGCCCTGTGTTTGATTCCCACCACCACAAAAATAAAAGAAAGAGTGAGCTTGTGTAAGATTCACATTCCTTCTTTCTGAATTATTTGGTAGAATTCACCAGTGAAACTATCGGATCCTAAAGTTTTTCTTTTTTTTTTTAATTTCTTTTTCTTTTTTTTTTTAGTTTTTGACATACCTTTATTTTATTCATTTATTTATATGTGGTGCTGAGAATCAAACCCAGTGTTTCACACATGTCATGCAAGTGCTCACTCCACCACTGAGCCACAATCCCCTAATGTTTTTTTGTGGGAAGCTTTTGATCATTTAATGCTTAATAAATATATAGACCTTTGGAGTTTGCATTTTATCTTGTTGAATATTTCAAATTTGTTTTCTTTTTTTTTCTTTTCTTTTTTTTTTTTTTTGTGGAAGGGTAGATACTAGGAATTCAACCCAGGGGTGCTTTACCACTAAACTACATCCACAGTGCTTTTTTGAGATAGGGTCTTGCTAAGTTGCTTAGGGCTTCACAAGTTGCTGAAGCTGGCCTCAGACTTGAGATCCTTCTGTTCAGCTCCCTTAATTTGCTAGTATTACAGGAATGCACCGCTCTGCCTGGCTGTGTCTTTTTCATTTGTTTGTTTTCATGTTTGTTTTTGCAATACTGGGGATTGAACCCAGAGCCTTGAGTGTGCTAGCTAGGCACATGCTCTATCGCTGAGCTACAACTTCCCCACACAAGTTTTATGTTTAAGGAATTTGCCTGTTTTTTCTAAGTTATTGAATTCATTCACATAAAATGTTCATTATATTTCATTATTATTTCTTTGTTGGTAGAATCTGAAGTCCTCCCTTTCACCCTACTTTCAGTAAATTATCTTTTCTTTTTTTGGCATGTTTGCATGTGGATGTGTGCGCACACATGTACTAGAGGCTGACTTTCAGGTCTAACACATCCAGGGCAAGCACCGTATCACTGAGCTCCATCCCCAGCCTGAGGTTTAGCACTTTTATTAGTCTTTTCAGAAAAAAATAGTTTTTGATTTTGTTGATTTTCTCTATGGTTTCTTGTCTGTTTGGTTAATTTCTGTTCATATCTTTGTTATTTCCTTCCTTCTACTTCTTTTCAGCATGAATTACTTTGTTTTCCTTTTTCTAGCTGTTTAAGATAGAACCTTAACCTACCTTTTCTAAGATAAGCTTTAAAGGTATAAATTTCCCTCCCTCCAAACACTGTTTTATCTACATCCCACAAACTTTGATGTATTTATATTTCTATCATCCTGTTTAAAATATCTTCTGATTTTCCTTGTAATTTCTCTGGTGTACACATGGATTATTTAAAGGTATGTTAACTTCCAAATATTTGGGTATTTTTTTCCCCTAGATACCTCCTAATTTAATTTCATTGTGGTCAGAAAACCTTTTCCTTAAGGTTTATTGAGATTTGTTTAATGGCTCTTTAGTGTTGACAGACCTTTATTTTATTCATTTATTTATATGTGGTACTGAGAATTGAACCCAGTGCCTCACACATGTGAGGCAAGCACTCTACCACTGAGCCACAACCCTAGCCCCATTGTTTTGTTTTTTGATGAATGTTTTATTTACATTGGAAAAGATGTGTATTCTGAAGTTTGCAGTAAAATGTTATAAAAATGTCACTTAGATCAAGGTGGTTGATAGTGTATTTATGTCTTCTGTGTTTTTATTGTCTTTTTTTTTTCTTATCTAGTGGCTATTATCAGTTCATGGGAGAAGAGTGTTAAAATTTTCCATGTACAATATATGGGTTTATCTGTTTTTCCATTTAAATGATGTCAGTCTTAATTTTGAACTCTGGTATTAAGTATATACATACTGAGGATTTGTTATGCTTTCTGATGAATTGACTCTATTATTATTATGAATGTCCTCCCTTTATCTTTTATAACTTACCTATTGAAGTCTGTTTTGTCTGACATATTAGCATAGTTTCCTTAAGTGCAGGTTGTTTGCATAGTCTGTATTTTTCTATTTAATTTCAGCCTATCTATTTTTGAAGTACATATCTTCTAGATGGCATATAGTTGGGTCTAATGGCCTTTAGCACTTAATATTTTAGTGGTTTCTCCAGAAATTATAATATAACTTTTCATGGTTTACTTAGAGTTAATATTGGTACCACTCCAAGTAAAATATAAGAATCCTACAGTCTAACAGTTCTACATATCACCACTCGTCTTTTATGCTGTAGTTGTCATCTATATTTTTTATTTGTTTATTTATTTATTTGTAGATGGACACAATACCTTTGGTTTTTTATTTTTATTTTATTTTTATGTAGTGCTGAGGATCGAACCCAATGTCTCATACATGCCAGGCAAGAGCTCTACCACTGAGCCACAACCCCAGACCCTGTCATTTATATTTTATCTGTGTATATTATAATCTCTAATACAATGTGAAGGCTTTTGCTTTCAATAATTGTATTTTTGAAGAAATTAAGAGAAAAGACTGTTTTTAATATTTACCCACATATTTACCATTTTAGTGCTTTTCATTTATGAAATATTCAGATTTTTAATCTGTTCTAAAGAAAGTCTGAAGAATTTTGTCACTTTTGGCAGTGCAGATCTATTAGCAATAATAAATTCTCTTCATTTTTGGTTTAATCTGAAAATGTCTTTATTTCACTTTTGGGTACTAAGTAAACATTTTTAAATCTCTCCAAAGCACTAACAGGTTTTTTAAGCACAGTCTTGCTTTTTTAAGTGATTTTCTTAAGATTTTCTGATAGAAGATCATGGCTGTAACTTATATGTGAAATCTAAAAGAAGTCCAGTGTG